CTTCAGCGAAATTATATAAAACCCTTTCTGAAATAATGGATAACACACATCGACCTACATTTTTATTTTTTCAGGACAGCTTGTCTAGACATTTCTAATAAACATAAAAATGGTATTGAAAACATATAATAAAAATTTATAATAATTGTTTTCGGCAGAATTTTTTTTCAGCCCAAAAGTAATAAATTTCAGTTAATGTTCAGTAACCTCTAAACCAATATTGTGTTTGCCGAAACTCCGAAGAAGTTTGTTGTGTAATCTCTGAGATAAACTGTAAAATTTAATGGTCCAAACTTGTGATTTTCAAACATCCGTGTAAATAAAGCCAAAAATAAAGCGATTGTTCAAACCATAATTCTAGTAGAAGGTTTCACTGTGGTTCATATAATGGGTGTTCAAATGAAAAATCAGAGTAGGCGTTGGAATATAATTTGACAGAAATGGCATGTCTGTTCTTATAACATGTATGCCAAATGGATGCTATAAGAACAGACATGCCGTTTGTGTCAAATCAAATTCCAACACATACTCTGAGTGATTTTTCAATTGAACACTCAGTTAATAATTTTTACAAATGACGTAATCAGTTTTGTGGAGGGGCTAGTATACAATATTGATTTAGGTTTTTTGCCGACAAACAATGATAGAGATAAAACCGGGACACTTGCATTTTCGCATCCTAGGAATTTTTCTTCCAAATGACTCACTCAATATTTGTTTTTGGGAAACACTGGAAAAGCAAAGAACAAACGCAAATTTTGAAATTTGCTGATTGATTTTATCAAGATTTTGTGATCACATAAAAGCTTTTTCACCTTAAGTGTTTTTATATATAATTTACTTAATTTGATATTGTTTGTATGAAAATAAACGCGAGTCGTAGGCGAGCCATGAATTGTTAACATTAAATACCATGCAAGAGTGCAATAGACACTTTTAGAAGAAATAAGAAAGATTTCCCAAAAAAGTGTGATTCATCAAATCTGATTAAATTTAAAGCCATTGCAAATAAAAATAACTAGTGTTGGATGAAAGATTTATTCCTCCAGTTCCGTACCTACAGTTAAAATTGTTTTCTACTCTGCTGAAAAATTAACCATTCCGAGTATATACAGGATCTACAGCCTCAAACAAAAATCTAAATTTTTCCTAAGTTATAACTCGTGTTTGATTCTTTAAAGCTTTTTTTAAATTTTTACTAGCATTATTTGACATATTTTAGACATTATTTAGTCTTTATCTTTTCTTCAAGGGTTAAAAGTACCAAAATGTATTGAATCTAAATGTGTTTCTGCTTTAGAAATAGTAAGAAAACAATAAAAACCATCTAGATCCTGATTTTGTTTCACTTTTAAAATTAGTAATCTCAACCGCTTCATTTCGTTTCTACATATTTTAGAAATAGCAATCTCGGAACCTAACGGTGTTTCGATTTTAGAAATGGCATAACAAAGAATAAAGAATCTCGGAAATCTTTTCAGTTTTATTTTTAACTGTAATAGTCTCAGAGTTAAATGTGTCTCGGTTTTAAAAATAGCATACAACAGAATAAAAAACGTCAAGGTTCTGATTTTGTTTCGTTTTTAGAAGTATCAATCTCATTGGCTAATTATGTTTCATTTTTAGCAATAGCATAACAGAATAAAGAATCCCGGGAATCTATTTTGTTCCATTTTTAACATTAGCAATCTCGGAAGCTAAATTTAGTGCGATTTAGTTTTGGAAACACTTGATTTTTTCCTTTTTAGAAGTAGCAATTTTGGAGGCTAATTGTGTTTCACTTTTAGAATTAACAGTCTCAGTCTTGTTTCGTTTTTAGAAGTAGCAGCCTCGGGGCTTCGGGGCTTCATTTTGTTTCTATTTTAGAAATAGCAATTTAGCCACCTAATGGTGTTTCGATTTTAGAAATGGCATAACAGAGAATAAAGAATCCCAGAAACACATTTAATTTTATTTTTAACTTTAACAGTCTCGGGAGTTAAAAGTGTCTCGGTTTTAGAAACAGCACACAGCAGAATAAAAAACATCGAGGTTCTGATTTTGTTTCGTTTTTAGAAGTAGTAATTTGAGGGAATAATTGTGCTTAACTTTTAGAACTAGCAATCTCAGGGGCTAATTGTATTTCATTTCTAGAAGTAGCAACCTCCAGGCTTCGGTGCTTCATTTTGTTTCTATTTTAGAGGTAGCAATCGCGGAACTTAGTGATGTTTCGATTTTAGAAATGGCGTAACAAATAATAAAGAATATCGGTATTCTATTTAGTTTTATATTTAACTTTAAAAGTCTAGGGAGTTAAATGTGTCTCGGTTTTAGAAATAGCATACAATAGCATAAAGAACATTGAGGTTCTGGTTTTGTTTCGTTTTTAGAAGTAGCCATCTCAAGGATAATTATGTTTCATTTTTAGAACTAGCAATCTCAAGTTCGAAGTGTGTTTCATTTTTAGAAGTAGCAATCTCGGTGCTTCGGGGCTTCATTTTGTTTCTATTTTAGAAATGGCATAACCAAGAATAAAGAATCTCGGTTTTAGAAATACCATACAACAGAATAAAACACATCGAAGTTCTGATTTTGTTTCGTTTTTAGAAGTAGCAATCTCGAGGGATAATTGTACTTCACTTTTAGAACTAGCAGTCGGGGTGGCTAAGTGTGTTTCATTTTTAGAGGTAGCAATTCGGGTACTCGGAGCTTCATTTTGTTTCTATTTCAGAAATAGCAATCTCGGGGACTAACTGAGTTTCAATTTTAGAACTAATATAACAGAATAAAGAATTTCGGGAATTTATTTTGTTCCATTTTTGACATTAGCAGTCTCGGAAACTAAATTTAATGCGTTTTGGTTTTGAAAACACTTGAGTTTGTGTTGTTTTTAGAAATAGTAATTTTGGGGGCTAACTGTGTTTCACTTTTAGAATTAGCAATCTCAGGGGCTAATTATTGTGTTTCATTTTTAGAAGTGGCAACTTCGGGGCTTAATTGTGTTTGAATTTTAAAAACAACTATCTCGAGGGCGAAATGTGTTTCAATTTTAGAAATAGCACAACAATAAAAAATGCCGGGAATCTACTTTGTTCCACTTTTAATATTAGCAGTATTGGAAGCTAAGTGCTTTTTGGTTTTGAAAATGGCATACAACATATTAAAAAACATAGTTATCCTGATTTTGTATTGTTTTCAGAAATAGCAAACTCGGGGCTTAATTCTGTTTCTACTTTAGAAATAACACTCTGGGGGGCCAATTGTATTTCAGTTTTAGAAATAGCAGAATAGAGAATCCCAGGAATCTACTTTATTACATTTTTTCTCGGCAGCTAAACACTTTTCGGTTTTGGAAATAACATACAACAAATTAAAAAAACATCAATATCCTGATTTTGTTTCGTTTTTAGAAGTAGCAATTTCCGGGGCTAATTGTGTTGCGATTTTAGAAGTGGCATAACACAGAATCAAGAATCCCGGGAGACTATTTTGTTCCATTATTAACGTTAACAGTCTCGGAGCTAAAAGTGTTACGGTTTTAGAAATAGCATACAACAGAATAAAAACATCGATATCCTGATTTTGTTTTATTGTTAGAAGTAGCTAGATCGGGGTTTAATTGTGTTTCGGTTTTAGAATAGCAATGTCGGGGGTAATGGCGCTTCGATTTTAGAAATAGTTTAGACACAGCAAAGAATACCCCAAAATCGATGTTGTTCCGTTTTTAGAATTAGCTGTGTCCGAGTATAATTGTGCTTCACTTTTATAAATAGCAATCACAGGGGCTAATTGTGTTTTGATTGTAGAAATAGCAATGTCGGGGCCTAATTGTTTCGATATTTAAAGAGACATTTTATGTAATTTGTTGACATGGTCACATCTTTGTCAAAAATGTACTAATTCCATTGATTTTGTATCGTAAAAAATGACTCATTTAGAGTATATATAGTATCGACAACCTCTAAAAATCAAAATTTTTCTGAAATTATAACTCGTATTTTGAGCATTGTTTAGTTTTTCTTTTCTTTTAATGTGTTTAAAAAAATAGTATTTCATTCTAGATAAACTTTACCACAAGTGTTTACACTTGATAGACACTCCAAAAGAAAATGAATTTTTTTCGGAGATTAAAGTGTTATCACGGAAAACAATATGAAACAAAGTGTAATTCGTAAACATAGCAAATATGGTATAATTAAAAACGATATTATAATTTAAGTAGTTAGTCATCAAAATAATAAAAAAAATGTGAAGAATATTCGATTTTTTCCATAATCGTTTAAATTAGTTTGAGAAAAGCATAATCGAAACGTATGAACTTATTTTTTGATTACGTAGACACTTTATGAGATCATAAAAATTTATAGCTACTAAGTAGAAAATTTTATTAAGTAATTAAAAGTCAGACCTTTGAGAAATAAAATGAAAAATCACCTATAACTATCGTTAATATATTTGACATAATTATCTACAAAAATATTTAAATGTTTAGAAAATCGGTTCAGGTTTAAAAATAGACCGAGATAAAAGGATTTCCGAAGTCCTCTATCCAAAGATTTGACAACCTTCCAAATAGTAGTTAAATTTATTGATTGAGAATTGTAGAAAATTTCGCAAAGTAATTATGGAAAATAAATGACTGCGTCCAGGTTGCGACAAGTTTCTCATTTAAAAAACAAAGGATCCGGTTCAAAGAAAAGCGAACTTTGTGTTCATCAAAATTCCATTGTTTGCCTAGCTGTCCGGAACTACAGCTTTCAAATTTATGATAGAACCGACCGAAAGTTGTAAAAGTTGCGAGCTTTGCATCAATCATGTTGCATGCTTTTGTTTGGGCAATTTAAACTAACTGAAAACACTTTATGTAAGTTTTGTTAGTGTTAAGACCCCATTAACCGAGAAGCCAAAAGTTTCTTTCACGTTCCCACGCTTAACCTGAGAGAAACTCACACGAGCTTTCGCACTGAACTTTGTGCTTTCGATGCGATGTCGGCGCTGTTAGTGACTTTGGTTTGTTGCAGGATTGGCTCTCGCGCCAACAGCTGGTGATTATAGTGCTGTTCATCAATATATCGCTGGCCATCATGTTCTTCAAGCTGTTAACATAGTACAGGTTGGGCGTCAGAAGACGCGTGATTCAGCCGATTACCCAACAACTAGACAATTGATGGAAATTGTATATTAGGACATATTTTTACAACATACCAAATGCACAGATTGGGTCATGCTTGACTTTTGACCAAAGTGTCGACTATTATTATTGTAATAATCGCGTGATCTTGTTGAAATGCTGTGTTTGGGAACATTTTCGCTGTTGGAGTTTTTTTCTCAGATTTTATCTACAGTTGTTTGTTTATTTCATCTTGTTCGCATTGTGGTTACTTTGTTGTTGAAAACTCTAATATTTGGAATTTTGTTATGTTTACATCTCCCATTTACCATGGCGTTGTAAATAATTGTTATGCTAGGTTTTAGACTAAATATTTTATAATCACGTTCTTTGTTTACTGGGGTGCTTTAGTATCAAAACAGAGACAAGGTGAAGCAAACAAATCTCAATAATTTATCATTATATTTGACTTGTTGTAAGCGTTAGAGGCAAAGTATATTTAGTTGTAGCTTATACCTATATCGTTCTCGGACTAAAGCCCGCAACTATATCAAATGACAATTTCTGCGAAACGACATAGTTATTAGACAATTCCGCAGAGTTGTCGTATTTCGGGCGTCACCTCTTTGACCAGGTCTCTGTGCCCTAGTTTACACAAAGGTCGGACAACACCACAAACAATTACGTTTTCATGTTTTCTTTTGCTTTGTAGATTCAATTTAATTACATTTTCACTGTTTCTTGTCGAGTCAGAATCGGGCGCCGACACCTGCTCATGACGAGGTCCTAATACATTTTTTTGTAACTCTCTTGCAGGCAGGAGAAGAAATTGTAGATATGGAAACGGAAATGATGAAATGTTTGTTTAAAAATTCAAATTTTAAATGTTTAGCTCTTTTACATATAAATTTATAAAAGATTTCTAAACTATTTTTGCGTGCCTTGTTCAACTTAAGTGATTCGTAAATACTGTTTGTAATTATGCAAACATTTGTATGAGCATTAAACAAAATTTCTAGATTTATATGGAATCGAATGTGTATTACGATGTGTCTATCACTTTATATTTTCAATTAAATAAACAAAAAGGGCTGACTGCATTCTTCCCTTAGTCATATTGACTTTTATTGCAGTGTTTTATTTAGTTTCCTTCCCAAACATTTAACATAGTATGTCGACATTTTCTTAAATTAGTGATGCAAATATTTCACGATTACGGAGTGACTTGCAATATTTTCAGAATGTCAATAAAATTATTATAATTTTTAAATTACAGCAATCTGTGACACTTATTAAATATATTGTAAATTAGTTTAATTAAGAACTTTATTTGTTATTACCGTATTTTTTATACATTTAGTACCGATTAATACTTATGATATAGTGTACAAAGGTATTTGTTATGTATTATTTTATTATTATGCTTATTTTTTTAAACTGGAGAATTTTTTATTTTGAAATGTGTTTTTTGGAAAATCTTAAATATTTAGGTTAACTTCCAGCACCACAGCAACATGTATGGATAGATTCTAACTAGGCTATATATGCTTCAAATATTTACAGAACAAACATGCAGAATGTTCAGTTTCCTACAAAGGATGACATCAATTCCAGTATTCTTCAAAATCTTTTGACAACTACGCTCACTTGTGCAAAAACTTGTTTATTCATTCTTATTAAGAGATTTTATAAATTCATTAACCTCACGAAGTATAATTTTCACAGCCATAAAATAATAAAAATAACAAGAAATGAAGTAATCTCAAATTGTAACATAGGCAGAATAAACAAACTATACAAAAGTATATAAATATTAAATACGTAAATATAACTATTTACACTAATGCATTCCTGAGGCTTAGGTACTTCGATCTCTGCAAAGAAGGCGACCAGCTAAACGGTCTGATTCACTGAGAGCGAAAATCCAATGCTGTAGATAAACTTTCACATGAACAATGACAACGAAAAGACCTTAAATCTGGGTGCGGACCCGCTACTTCGACACGTCATCCTGTACTTTTATTTCGATTAAAGTTCACGATATTAATTTAACTGATGATAATTTTCAAGGTCCTTTTTTTCAACGTGGATAGATGTTTAGAATTACTTTAAATGCCGCGACGTACCTAAGTGAAAACATTCAGAACTAAATATATCTTTACTAAAATAAGTTGTGTCTGAATAAGTGAATTTCCTGCCACGTGTTTTATGTGAATATTTACATTATTGCTGTAAGAATTGCATTAGAACCATCAACAGTTAAAAATCTTAACCTGAACTGTGAATTTACATTACAGATTAGAAAAGCGTTAATTGCACTCGTTGAGAGGCAGGGACAGTGGCATCCAGTGCGATTTATTTTTTTCTAAGCAATTGTTCTTTTTTGAAATTATAAAAATAAAAATTTGCATACCCTTTCTATTGATAACCAACTGAATTTACTACCTTGTTGATATTTCCATTGTTTTCTAAGGTAGGCTGGATACGGTGATAAATAATAATCTGTTGGTATTTTTTGTCAAAATGATGGATTTTTCAAAACTAATTCATATTTAAGACATGATTCAATTTTAGTTTTAGTCACTTTTTAAAGTAGAGTATTTCAAATGTAATTTTTGTTAAGTATTAGCTACTATTTTTTAAAAACATGTTTCTTCATGTCACCCACTTTTGATAAGCAACACTTTTAAGTTCAAGCAATTCTCAGTGTTTTTCCAAAATTTTGACTTACATTTTTTATAACTCGTAGATTTTGGTGTAGATGAATTTTTGAAAGTGTATTTACTATGTTTAAAGTGGCAAATACTAATTACATGACTTCTGATAGTTGTGTTTGGGTATTGAGAGTTAATACTATAAACACTTCTTGAAATTTATCAGGATTGCAGGAGTTATGTAGAGCTCCAATAGTTTACCTACAGGAATTAAAGTTTTGTGTATTCGATTACACTAAAATACTGTTACGATGGACGAGTTTTAAAATCGGCGTGGGTAAAACTCAACAATTTAGTTCAAAATAACTAAAATTGACACAACTGATTACACAGCGATGTACAACATAATTCCGGTGCAACTTGTCTGGACTCTATCTTCGCTCAACCCAATTCGTTAATTGAAAAATAAATAATCGTTCCCGACGGTGGCCTCCATTTAAACCTATACGTTCCTCTCGATGGATCGAGAACGCCACTTCGAGGTTTTTCTGGGTTGCCCATCGCGATTTCCGCTTCTAGGATTTTCGCTAGCGAAAAAAATCATATCGTTTACCATATTTCATAATAAATTGTGAAAAATAAACCATTAAAACCACTGTGTGTATTTTTGTTGCAATGATAATAAATAACACAAAGAGTTGGGTCATAAATTATACTTATTGGACGCGAAAGTTTTTTTTCGTCTTAAAAGTTGAATAATACTACGTTTGTTGTACTAGAAATTACTTTCTCTGCGATCATCTGCAATAATTTTCCATCAAAGACTGTAACAGGTTATGGGCCCAGAGTGTGAATTCGAACGACAATGAAACGGAGAGTCAGTTTGTGTCTAGAGGCTGAAAATCAACATTTTCAGCAATTATTGCAAATAAGTGTGGTATTCTTGATTTAAATTGTTACAAATAAAAGATTTTGTATGATTTTTAGAACGTTTAAGATCTTGGTGGCATTAACCTTGAATAACTTAACTTTTGAAATGACGCTGGTTATTTAGGCAACCCAAAATACACCTTTGAAGTTCAACTTGAGCAAAACGTTTCACTGCTGACGTAAACGTCATGGGTAACTAGAGCAGAAATTAAAGAAATCACCCGGTAACAATTCCACGAATCAAGCTGCTTTGAAAAAAGTTCAGAAGGGACGTACGCCCATGATTCCTTAGAACTGACCCAATAGAAGGATCTAGAAAAAAGTACCAAGTCAGTTTCTGTTAGAAATACCGATGAGGGAATCTATGATGAACCCTCAAGCGAACGACTTAAAAATGAAAACTAATTACTTCGGGTCAACGTTCAAAATTTATAAACAGAATTGTAAGTTTCTCCTCATGTGTCAATCGTTGTAAATTTATAAATCTGATAAAGTTTATGTGAAATAAACAAAACCAGTCGTCGACTTTTTGACGTTGGATTCTGATCCTTTCTCACCAGTAGAGTTTTTCTACACAACATTCTTGAATGAGACACGACAATCTTGGAATTCCTGTAGTCGAACTAAGCGATTCAGACACCATGTTAAGGAAAAACGAAAATCGAAGTGAAGAAAATGCGAAACTTTCTTATCGAGTTCTGGTCGGTGCTTTCACCTACTTATCAATGCCCAAAAACAAACTTTCAACATCTTGTGTAAAGAATTCTAAAATATAGGAGAATGTGAAAAAACTACAAGCAGATATTCTAAACATTTTCAATAGATGGATTTTCAAAAATTTTAACATGACGTCAAGTTTTGGGAGGGGGTAAATTATGATTACTGATTTATCATGTTTATAATAACCTGAAAGTGTGTCAAAAAGTATAAAGCAGTCAGCTGTATGTCTGTGGTTTTTAAAATAAATTGTAAAATTTATTGCTGTTTTGAATTTTTTACAAAAAATTACCTGCGCATGATTGATAAACTATAGACAATGGAAATTTTGCACATTTTAAGTAACATTTACTTAGCATAATTTTAAGATAACGTCATTACATTTTTGGTGAGGGGTGAGGGTTATCATCGAATTTTGGTTAGCGTGTTACCAGATACAGTAATTTTGGAGAATGTCTACCTAATAACAACAGATGACAGACGACAGAGTGACGGAAATGCCGACCTACTTTTTATGTTCTAACAGTTATGCAACGTCGAGGAAACATTAAATCAGCCATTCGTCAAATGAACCCCATTATACAATATTTCTTGAATTTACCGTTGGAGAACTTGGAGAAAATCAGCGAAATCACTGTTGCACACATTTCCATGCCATTTTGAGCACATCTTCAGTTGCATTCTGCTCTAAATAGACAAATATTCTTAAAATATCGTAGTTCCGAGACCTTCAACGAAATAATTTTTTGACATTTTTATTTTACTAGTAATCTAAGAAATAACTTTCAGCTGCTGTTAATTTGTTCTGAATTTCTCGTATATGGTGTTTGAACAACATTTTTAATGCAGACGCTTGTTTATAATTGAACGAGGATACGTACATTGACTTTTGCCTCCTTTTTTCAAGCCATGCCAGTGTCCTGCTTTGTTGAGGTTGAATTTCTTTATCCAATATCTCTGTATAAAATTAAAATTTAATTTAACATTATCGGTATCTGTCATTTGTAATACACATTCTAAATAAAAAAGAAAAAACGAAACAAAATAAAAAATTAAATAAATATAAAAACAACGTTTATTCAACTAGAACACATAACAGAATACACAGCATAACCGTAATAGTAGCAGGACCAACAATCATTCATATTCCTGAGTCTCTGCATGTCCATAGTCCTGCAGTCCTTCCACCTCTTCGTACTGCTCCTGCTGCTGAACGTGCTGCAACGCCTTCTGGATCTCTTCCGGAATTGGTGGCGGGGTAGGCAAATGGGCGCCTTGGGGCTGGAACCCATGTTCATCGGCAATATAACTCAAAGTGATGGGATGCCCGTGCTCGTCATGGTAGGTGATGGTTCCCTGCTGAACCAAAATTTCGTTCTTCTTATCCCCTTTGTTTTTAATGAACCCAGTTTCTTGTGCGTGGATGCCGTTACCAGTTTCGTAGCTAATTAAAAAAAATAGCAATAAGAATATTTTTAACACGCACTAATTATGGATTACGCTTAATTGGGATGGTCGTAATTTTGATTCGGATACGTAAGGCAGATGTTGTGAAAGTCGTGCTACATCGCGAACTTTGCTGTTTGCACTTTCATTGGATTATTGTCATTAAGTAGTGCAAAAAATTGATTTTGCTGACCTGTACTGGTAGCCTTCGTGGTGTTGATCGAAAGTTTGCTTGAGGATTGGGATGATGGGTTTCTTCACTTCTTGAAGGGTTTGGTATTCCGATAAGTCGGTCGCTGAGGCGATGGCGGTGAGACAAAGTAACACAATTATCTGTAATTTATGAGATTTATACTTAACAGTAGGTGAGCGAGTAATAT